AGCTGCACGCACCACCCTCCCTCTGTCGTCTGTCCGCGCTCTGCCTCCTTCCTCTCTCCTCCAGTCCCATCTCCCAAGTCTCGTGTGCTCTGCAAGCAGAGGCCGGGGCATCGACTTTCGCGGGTCTTAGGTTTAAATAGAGCATTTCAGGACGTTGGGGGTTCAGTGGAGGGAGGAAGCCAGGGCTTTCCCAGAACACATCTTCTGTAATTACTGACCACTGAGTCGCCTGGCTGTAGCCCGCAGGACATCACCCGTACTGCAGGAAGCACGCGTGGACCTTATCGACCTCGACTTATGTAACTCGACCAGATGGTACAATGGGCGCATTCGTTCAACCAACGTGTGCGCAGGGTACCCTGAAGGCAAGATTGACACCTGCCAGGTAACTCTCCACCGGGTGCTCTTGTGGACACTTTCTTTTTGGATCCCTGAGCAAATCTCCCTGGTCCTGCCTCCCACTATCTATAGTAACTGTGCGCTTGGATGGTGACACACATAAGCTGCGCAGCAGAGACTTAGTCACCACATTTAGAGCTTTCTTCCACCCTCACACAGAGATCGTATCATCCAAACACTTCCCAGAAGAGGATGTTTACCTCTCTTCACCAGAATGCAAAAGGGTCAAATCCACTTGTATACACACGCTCATGTACCCATGTAAAACCATATACACAGACACATGGGTTTGTCTGTCTTTCCTATCAGTGCGAGAAAACCCATGAAAATCCATACCCTTCTCACAGCCACAAAGAAGTTGTTTTAGCACCACCTCAAACTTTGCCATAACTGCCTGTGTTTATGGCAGCAGGAGACCATGTGACTACAGGCTATGGCCCTTCTGGGCAGGGAAAGTGGCTCAGGCAGAGTGTGACTTCTGTATCCTTCTGGGCAGGGGGACAGCGGCGGGCCTCTCATGTGCAAAGACAGCGTGGAAAACAGCTATGTGGTCGTGGGAATCACAAGCTGGGGGGTAGGCTGTGCCCGAGCTAAGCGCCCCGGAGTCTACACGTCTACCTGGTCCTATCTGAACTGGATTGCCTCCAAGATAGGCTCTAACGCGGTGCACACGATTCAGTTGCCCACCGCTCCCCCTGCTTCTACCCCAGTAGCCCAAGCGAGCCCTGGCTCCGTTCAGCCTTCCATTCGCCCACCTTGGTTCTTCCAACACGTTCCTCGCCCACTTCCCTCTCAGCAAGCTCTTGCCGTGGCCCAGCCCCCACGTCCCTCCGGCTCCCGACCCTCAGTCTCACCCCCCCCGCCACGCCCACGCCCTCCCCCACCGCAGCCTCCCACTAGGCCTCCCCAGGTACTCTCCTTCGCCAAGAGACTGCAGCAGCTCATAGAGGTCTTGAAGGGAAAGACCTTTCTTAATGAAAAGAGCAGTTATGAAATGGAAACCACAGGCCTTCCAGAACAACATGCCTCCTCCTGATCTGAACCTATTCTCAACGGACCCAGTGAAGGCCTCACTCCTGAGGGAAAAAAAGATGAAATAAATGGATATAAATACAAATATAAATATATATACACTAAGAGATGCTTTCTGGACTTCTTCCTATATGCCTTCCCCAACTTAATCCCTCATCAAATCTACCCTGCTTCCATTCACCCTTGTATTGTATTAATGATGTTGACTTAAAAAAAAAAATGCACAACGTGAGTTGTGAGTTAAGTTTTATTTGGGGCAAAATGAAGACTCTAGCATGAGAAACAGCACTTCAGATAGCTCTGAGAAACTACTCCAAAGCGGCAGTGCGGGAAGGTCAGTAACTGTGAGATTTTTGGTGAACGGGGAATACATGCAATCAAGCACATTTTTTTTTAGAGGTTTCTGCTGGTCTCCTGAAGATTACTGCTAGTCATGAGGAGCAGACATCATCCTGAAGGATTCTAGTGCTTTTCCAGATATGAGGAGATTGAATAATTGGGTTTGTAAAGCCAGCTCCTGAAAATATCTAACTGTCTGAAGACCTGTCCTGTTAGTTTTCCTGTAGCACCAAGAGCCTCATTTCTGCTTTCCACCCTAAACTCCTTTCAGAGGGTGTTGAAAGTCAGCAGCTGTAGCAGCACCTGATTTCATTCTTGTAGAGGTGGATGGCAAGTGCCAGTTCGTAGTTGACAAAGTCAGTTGTGGTTTTTAACAAGAACAAGATGAACTGGGGTCATAGTCCAGGTAATTGTTAAATGCTGGTGCATCTGCATATTAAATCAAGGGGCCGCATAGCTCCCTTGAGGTGAGCTGACTGAAAATCAAGGATGTGCGTCCAAGTCTGCTGGAGGCCATGCTCTCCTGGTGCAGAGAGACAGACCCATGAGAGGAATCTGTCCTTAGTTTGTTTCTTCTCTCCTCCTTGAGCTGGAAAATTTTTCCCTGGGCCTGTGATCTGCAGCTGACACTTGGGTCTCCTTCCTGGAGAGACAGGGCTAAACTCAAGAAACACTCTGACAGGAGCCTGCAGAGTCCAGGCAGTGGATTCTTGTATGCCTTGTGCAAGCTTCTCGTGCACGTGAATGTAACCTAACCCCTTCTTCTATTTTCCTTGTTCATATTACTCTTTGACTTCCTTTTCCATTTATCAAATGCAGACATTTCCATATTAGCACACGTGGACCCCTGTCTCTAACTGTGCTCCACAGCAGGGGCGTTTATGAGCCTGTGGTGTCAAGCGTCCTCCCCTTCTAGTCTTTCAACACATTTCCCCACATCTAAGCCAACACGGGCTCACAGCAAATTCATCAATTTGCCAACCTAATTGATGCTTAAATTTTCATTTTTAAATTTATGAATGAAGCTGTTTATAAGTGAAGTGAGACTCTCTAATCCGCCTTCATGTGCCTGTGGACACTCCAGCCCTGAGAACGGCTCACAGATTCTGGAGCAGAAGCCTCTGCCCCGGGACGGGAGAAGCAGGGAGGAAATGGACAGCTGTGTGCAGAACCGCCAAAGATGGTTCAGGCTCTGCTCACTTCCTTATGAGATTGTCAGGCAAATGACCAAGATTCTCAAAAGTTAGAATTCATAATGAAACTTACTGCTAGGAAGAATAGCAGAAAATTATTCCGCAATGGCTAAACCTGCACGTGGTAAAACTCAGACACTGGAAAACCAGGCAAGTTAGGAATAACAGATGTAAGGGCAGAAGTTCTAACTGTGAGTTTGATCAGTACATGAAATCTAATATTTACAAAGAAAAAGCTAAATGAGCCAATGAATATAATTGTAGTAAATTTTAAATGGAAGTGTAAAAAAATGGAGGTAGTTCATTTTTAATATGTTCAAGAAACAGAAGCTAGCTTATTGATGTTTTCTGAAGAAACTACATTCTTGGTAAAGAATCATCAATGACCCCCTTTGGTTACAGATGAGTCTTTGCATGGAGACGTGCTTTCAGAGTGGAATGGCTGGGGCACGATAGGTGTAAGCTTTGCTCTATGACTACACCCCCAAAGGCATCAGTGCAATCAATGTAGTGAACATATCCATCACTCCCCAAAGTTTCATTGTGGGACCTTGTAATCCCTCTAGCCCTTTCCTCCCTGGCTCCAGACAGTCTCCAATTTGCTCTTTTTCATTATGTATTAAGTTGTATTTCTAAAGATTTTACACAAATGGAATCACACATCAAGTAGTTCTTTTTGTCTAGCTTCATTCAGCATAATCATTTTGAGATTCATCTATATGGCAGTGTGTTCACCAGTTTATTCCTTTTTATTGCTAACCTTTTCATCATACAGCTATACCACAGTTTTTCTATTCATTGTTGGTGGATGTTCGGTCATGTTAAATAAATCAGCGATCTGCATTTGTATACAAGTCCTTGTATGGACATGTGCTTTCGTATCTCTTGGCTGAGTGTGTGTGGAATGGCTGTATCTTATGGTAGGTGTGTGCTTAGCATTTTTAAAAACTGCCAAAGTGTTTTTTCAAAATGGTTTAAACATTTCACATTCCACCAGCAGTGGGAGAGAGTTTCAGCTTTTGAGCTCCTCACCAACACCTGGTCTTGATAGCTTAGTGGTGAATGGTGAGCAGTGTCACTGGATATGTGGTCTCTGAAAGAGAAGATTTAACTCTGGGACCAGAGACATTCTCGGTCATTCAGAGTTTTTTGTTTTTTTTTTTTTTTTGTAGATTTTATTTAAAGTGAAAGTGACAGAAAAAGCTTTTGACATAGACATAAGAAGGGGTCAGGAGAGTCCCTGCCTCACTTCTTTAAGTGGCTTATACTTCTCAACTAGTTGCTGAGAATATATGAAAAATATTTCAAGGTTGTGAGAATTTTGTTCAAACCCTTTCCTGTAATATACATCCTGGGATGACATCAGCATGAGATTAGTCAGAAGGAACATGTAAACCCCAAGCTCAAGGCTGTGAAAGTTTTTACCCAGAACTTTTCCCATAACATCTATAAAGTTCAAAAAAAGGCATGCCTTTGAACAAGAGATACTGTTGCCTACAATGCCTACTTGTCTAAGGCAAAGAACAGTGAAAAAGAAAGAATGTTTACCTCCTCCTTAAAGGGGCCTTAGGCTTGGACTCCTTATTAACTTGCCTAAGTTAACTCTCTCAGTATGATCAGTCCTTCTAATTTTAGGCATTCTGATTTTAGTATATGTGCTGCTGAAGCGAGCACTAGGCATTCTGAGAGATGTGTAGTAATATTTCATTTGGGGAGTTTTCCCAATAAACAAATGTAGTCTATCAATAAGTTTAAAGCATTCTAAATGAACACAGCTAAGCTTTGTTAACAGTAATGTAATATGGCGATAACTCTTGATACTAGAGCAAAATATGGAAGGACTCCTAGGGAAAGAGGTAGGTAGAAAAAGGCATAAAATAAATATATCCAAGAAGAATTTGGATATTTCAAGCATCACAAACATCAGTGGAAAACTGAAAGAAATAATGATAGGAGCAGTTCATAGTACAATACTAATTTCAGAAGCAACCTGCTTAAGAAATGAGAGGTCCATTTCTTATAAAGAAAGTTATTCCAAAATATCCAACCTCGGGGTTTGCTGCGAGGTTTCGGTCTCGAACTGCAGCACCATGTCGAAAATTTCTTTTAAGATCACACTGACGTTAGACCCGCGGCTGCCATACAAAGTACTCAGTGTTCCTGAAAGTACACCTTTCACAGCTGTCTTAAAGTTTGCAGCAGAAGAATTTAAAGTTCCTGCGGCAACAAGTGCAATTATTACCAATGATGGAATAGGAATAAATCCTGCACAGACTGCTGGAAATGTTTTTCTAAAGCACGGTTCAGAACTGCGAATAATTCCTAGAGATCGTGTTGGACATTGTTAATATCCGCTGCTTGGAACATAAAACCCCCTTCCAGAGTAAATATTGGTAATGTTATTGTTGTAAAATTGTAATCAGGCGTTTGAAATCCTATGAAAACATCAGTAATTGATGACATAGTGAAAGGTGACTGTCTGTCCGTGCTTGTTGACACTTCACGTGAGGAGAGAACGCATCCAGGCCTAGGGCACCATGACCACAGAGGATCAGTCTTTCATTGCTGCCTCGCTGCACACACAGGTAGTTCATCAGGGGTGAATGGATCAACCATCTGTGTCTTATAACCTGAGGGTGCTTCTGGTCATTCTTTCTGAGAACATCTGGAAAATTAAAATTTACTGAAGCTTCCTTCTTGTCCCTGTGTTAAAAATGTAAAAAAGATTATGGATCCACACATAACGGTTGGCTTGTTAGCATCTGACTCACAGACAGAAACATAGTTGCCTTCCTCCTTATATATCATTTATGATAAAGGATCATATCAATGAATAACTATCTTATCATTTAGCTTGTTTTAAAGTTTTAGACTTCTTGAGTTCTTATAAGTTTTAATTTGACATCAAAGAGCCCAAAATTGCATTTTCAATCTAGCCCTTATGGGTAAAACTGGTTGGTATCCCACACCAAAGAGTTTTAGCGATGATCTTGCAGACTCCAGTACTTGTAATGATGAGAATTAAGAATAAGTAGAAGCATCAGTTGCTGAACTATGCATTCCTTTATTGATCTCTTTTAAAACAACTTTTAAAATAGGAATCCTCGAGAAACCATCATCTTTTTGAGGATAATCGTAAATAGCCTTCAGGGAGACAGTGTAAAGAAGAACATCTGAAAGTTCACAACAGCGCTCATAGAAATGCTAATTTAAATTCTGGTTGGTTATACATAATGAAGACCCACCATTTAAGGAAGCATTAAGATTATAGCTGTGGTTTGAATAAGAAGCTAGGAAAGGAAAATGGGGAAGCCCAGATGACCAGGCTTCTAGCAAGAAGGAAAGAAACAAAAGGGAAGGCAAGCAGAAACTTGTAACAGGAGTGTCACAGAAAAGGCCAAAGTGGTTAGATAAAACTGCAGAGGCTATGGAGAGAACTGAAGGGAAAACAAAATACTTGACATTGTTATAAGGAGCCAAAGATGATCAGAGAAAGCACAGCATAGGCATTGTCAGCATATGGTTTTCAGAATTTCCCTTAAAGAAAGATATACATAGGGAAGATTATGTTTGCCCTTAGTGAGGGCATCAGTATCTATGCATATCTTGAAAGGAGAAGGCTCACCAGCATTTGACTTACTGTATTCTAGAAGCTGCGGTCTCTGGAGGCAGGCCTGGTTGGTTGGTATCTGTTCTGCATTTTGGAGGCCTGGAAATGTAAGCTTCAAGATATAGGTGTTGAATTATTCATGAATAAATTGTTTCTAAAACCAGTTTTTATTGAAATGTACATAGGCCCTAGGTTCATGGGGGAAAAAAATTATGTAACAGACTCAGTATCAGAAAGATGATATTGGTTGAGACTAAGACTTGGTTCAGGTATTTGATAGTGACTAGAAGTCTTCTGAATTGTAAAGGGCAAAAAAATTTGCGCTGAGGTAGAAAAGCATGTTTCTAATGTTTGTGGAATTTTTTATTTTTATAAGCAAACTTATTTTCTGATGCCTAAAGACTCCTGGTCTTTAACAAAATTAAACCTCCATTAATGAGAAATTTTCTGACTTTTTTGTCTTATTTAGATTTTCCCTCATTCTGTTTCTAGCACAGAATTCTGCCTGATTTGTCACACACATAGGTTTTATGATGTCTCATAAATTATTTAATATTTTTGTTTTGGTTGGAAAATTTTATTACAGTAAGGTCTTAAAAATATTTTCTTGTATAGAACTAGACATGTTATTAAATATGATCTGTAACTTCTTTGCGCAAAATGCTTCAAAGTGGTGTATTTAAAGTGCTTTATTGGTCCATGATTCATCTTGTGAAAATACATTTTCTTATACCATTAAAAAAAAACAACAAAAAAACCCAAAATATCCAACCTCATGGAACCTCTGTCTGCTGATGTTACTACATCCCAAATAACACTTTATATTTAAAACTAAATCCTCAGGTGTGATTTTAATGCTACACATTTTTCAAGGTGAACACAATGGTGTTCAAGTCTCAATTTGCCAGGTTAAATTAAAAATAACATCTAAGCAGGTCTTAATTCATTACACTCATGCATCTACGACACAAAACATACAAAACCTATTTTGTGGGTTAATTCTTCTAGATATGGAGCTAAAAGTTTATTAATACATTCAGTGCTCTTTATAACATCATCTTTGTTCTCACGTGAGTTTTCAAAAAAGCAAGTGTTGAAAGGAAACTTCAAAAGTCATTTAGTATGTTTCTTAAGTTTTAAATGTTTTATTTGCTTTTTAAACAGTTACTCATTTGTGTTTGGCTCCGTCGGTTCTTAGCTGCGGTGCGTGGGCTCGGTAGCTGCAGCAGGCAGGCTTAGTTGCCCTATGGTCTGTGGGATCTCAGTTTCCCAGCCAGGGATTGAACCTGTGTCCTCTGCACTGGAAGGCGGATTCCTAACCAATGGACAACCTGGAAAGTTCTTTTTTTTTTTTAATTGTCTTTAAAATAAAAAAGACTTCAAATAGAAGACTTCATAACAATTCTCACTTAAGCTAAATCTCAAATTTTCATGCTTTCCCTGCCTGCCCCCCCCCACCCCCTGTAAAATAGATCCTGATTCCCTCATTTTCTGTCCTCACTGGAGATAGAGCACAGCTTATCTTACTATTTCTTACTTTGAGTCCTTTAATAGAAGTCTCAATAACCAGACATTAAACCACATCTACAGCTTTTTCCTCTCCAGAACAAAATGGTCTTAACTTTTTGATCTTTTTTTCTCAGATCTTATTTTACAATCGTATTTCATTCCTTTTTATTTCTCCTAAATCTCCTTCTGAGTTCATATAGGACCCTAAGAGACAACATGCTAGCAGGGACTGAATTAGTAATTTCTGACCTCCCAAAGGAAATCAACCCTGAATATTCATTGGAAGGACTGTTGCTGATGCTGAAGGTCCAATAATTTGGCCACATTATGCAAAGAGCTGACTCACTAGAAAAGACCCTGGGCAAGATTGAGGGCAGGACAAGAAGGGACAACAGAGAATGAGATGGCTGGATGGCATCACTGACTCAGCGGGAACTCTGGGAGGTGGTGAAGGACAGCAGAGCCTGGCGTGCTGCCGTCCGTGGGGATGCCAAGGGCTGAACACGGCCGTGTGGCTGAGCCACAGAAAACAGCACCCTTAAAACCAGGTCTCTCTTATGGTTGCTAACAAAGGGCAATCGACTCACTATCTGCTCTTATAGTGACAAATAAGCACAAGTCAACATTGCCCACAGTCTGCCTGTCCCCTGCATTTGGGTGGTTGGTAGGTTTACTCTTCTCAAGAAGCATACCCTGTATGGCCTCACTGATCTTTCTGTTGTTTGTTTTCACTGTTACTTTCCAACGGATGCTTTGATCTTGCCCCATTCATTATTCCTTTTCCCCAAATTCCAGAAAACTGAGTTCTGATATGCACAATCAAGGAGAAAAATTCCTGGAGAAAAATATAAACAAAACAAGGCTGGGACTTGCTAGCTATAGCTTGTCTCTCCTGGCTGGCCTGGGTACTGAATTTGTCCTGTGAGCCAAGTGTTGAGCAATATGTCAGTTAAGTTTAGTTCAGTTGCTCAGTTGTGTCTGACTCTTTGCGACCCCATGGACTGCAGCACGCCAGGCTGTCCATCACCAACTCCCAGAGCCTGCTCAAACTCGTGTTCATCGAGTCAGTGATGCCATCCAACCATCTCATCCTCTGTCGTCCCCTTCTCCTCCTGCCTTCAGTCTTTCCCAGCAGCAGGATCTTTTCCAATGAGTCAGTTCTTCGCATCAGGTGGCCAAAGTATTGGAGCTTCAGATTTAGCATCAGTCCTGCTGATGACTAGTCAGGACTGATTTCCTTGAGGATGGACTGGTTGGATCTCTTTGCACTCCAAGGGACTCTCAAGAGTCTTCTGCAACACCACAGTTCAAAAGCATCAGTTCTTTGGCTCTCAGCTTTCTTTTATGGTCCAACTCTCACATCCATACACGACTACTGGAAAAACCATAGCTTTGAGTAGATGGACTTTTGTCAGCAAGGTAATGTCTCTGCTTTTTAATATGCTGTCTAGGTTGGTCATAACTTTCCTTCCAAGGAGCAAGCGTCTTTTAATTTCATGGCTGCAGTCACCATCTGTAGTCATTTTGGAGCCCCCCAAAATAAAGTCTGTCGCTGTTTCCATTGTTTCCCCATCTATTTGCCATGAAGTGATACTAAAATTGTGCTCAGACAGACTCCAGAGCTTGGCTGAATCAGATGCTTCCTCAGTCTGTATATTTTGGGACTTTGTAAGATTCTGTTCATTTTAATGTTGGATTTTTAAATTTTTGAGGTAAAAATCCAAGCTTCAATAACTTTCACATTGATTAAGATGACTTAAATCTTGCATTATATTAAAGCACTCAAAACTATTCTCATTAATAATGGCCATCTAGACATGGCTTAGTGATGACGAATGTCATGTCTGTCGTGTCGTTTCAGCCCCCTTTGCTCTTCAGGCACTGAAACACAGACATTCAAGCCCAATAGACACAGTTTTCACATAGGGAGTATTACGGTGGTGATGCTCAGTCGCTTGGCTGTGTCAGACTCTGTGCAACCCCATGGACTGTGGCCCACCAGGCTCCTCTGTCCATGGAATTTTTCAGACAAGAGTACTGGAGTCGGTTGCCACTTCCCTCTCCGGGGGAACCTTCCCGACCCAGGGATCGAACCCGTGTCTCCTGCATGTCCTGCAGGGGCAGGTGGACTCTCTGCCACTGAGCCACCTGGGAAGCCACAGAGGATTGTATCACTTTGTAAAATGGAGGCCATTTCCTAAGTGACAATCTACATTCTTAAAAGCAAACAAAACAAAAAATTCTACATATTTCTTCTTCAGTGCAAAGCCTTTGAAAACAAACTCAGACAAGTTATGTTTTATGTTGGCTAGCTGTCTATTTTCTGATTCATACAAGATACAACTATGAGGAAAAAACTAACAATAGTGGCAAGATAATAATTTGAAAATTATATTTGGGTTATATGCATACTACCAAATATTAACTGATAACTGCAACAAACCAAACCATGATTTAAGGAGTAGTCTAATCAGGTCAAACTTTATATTTTTAAAATTATTATTTTAGGAAATAAATTCTCTTCAGTCAGTCAGTTCAGTCGCTCAGTCATGTCTGACTCTTTGTGACCCCATGGACTGCAGCATGCCAGGCTTCCCTCTCTATCACCAACTCCCGGAGCTTGCTCTAAGTCATGTCCAACGAGTTGGTGATGCCATCCTACCATCTCATCCTCTGTCGTCCCCTTCTCCTGCCTTGATCTTTCCCAGTATCAAGATTTTTTGCAATGAGTAAGTTCTTCGCATCAGGTGGCCAAAGTTTTGGTGCTTAAGCTTTAGCATCAA